ATATGTCTGAGTCTTTATTCTTTATATGTAATTTAAAAGCAAGCTTTTCTTTGTAAAAACTTCAATTAAATTTCAATTAAGTTAAAGGCATGACCTCACCATTAATATTTAAAATATATATATATATATATATATATATATTGGAGTTTGGAATAAAATCAGGTTTAATCAGTTCTAACTATAAAAAATAAACTTGGTTCCAAATTTTAGTACGTACATAAACTATACACATATATCACGTGATTACTGTAGTACAAATGACAGCCATGTAACTGACACACAAAATATTTCCGAAAAGTCTACAGACAGTTCTTACGGACAGTTAAGAACAGTGTGATTCACGTGATATTACTAAAACCACTAACCCTAACTGCGGAAAATCTACGGACAGTGCTTAGGGACAGTGCAAAATCACGTGTTTAAGTTGTGATCGGCTATTTAGCGGTTAGGGGAGGAGATTTCATATTATATCATGTGATCGCACTGTCCGTAGATTCTGCACCCTAACTGTCTCTAACTAACTATTCACGTGACTTGAACTGTTCCTAAGAACTGTCCGTAGATTGTCCGAATATTTCTAGCTCGATTTCAAGCCACTGTGGCTATAAATCACGTGACTGGCTAAATTAACCTGGGTGAAAATAAAATTACCTAAATTTTAATCACTAAATTTTTAAATCTTTTTTATTAATGATAATATTGCTATTTGTAAATAAAATAAAATAAAAATTTAACAGATACGCCCAGAATTGCGTGAGATAATACGATCCAACTAAATTTTTTTTTTTGTTGCATTATTTATGATCGCCAGTGTAATATATTATGAGTATAGTATGCTAATTTTATATACTCAAATGCAATTTTTGAAGCACTTCACTACTTTACTAAACCATACACCACTACTATTTGTAATACCGTGTTATTGTCCACTTTGTGGATAATAATACTATCTTTTCGAATTGAAGTTGCGTATTTAATGATGTTTAGTTTTATTACAATATAACGTCCTCTTTCACTATTTTTTCTCTTTTTTTTTTTTAGCCAACAACTTTTACCTTTCGTTAGTAACGTTAACATTAATAGTTTAAAATTTCATATATCATTAAAAAAAGTAAAAAACAAAAAACAAAAAAATATATAAAAACTCTGGATCAGCCCGAATCTGAAATCTGGGCAATAAGCGTGAAAAGTTAGTATAGAAGCATAAATAAGAACTAGGGAATATTAATATATCATATAGTCTTTTAACCGGATAACCGGATAACCGGATAAGTTAACCGGATATCTTAATTATTAACCCGTCAATCAATTTTATAATCCGGGTATTCGGGTAACCTAACGGTTAACCAGTTATTCTATCTTAAGGTATGATCACTAAGCTGAAGTCCCCTCGAAAAATGAACAACCAATGAAAACGCTGGATAACTCTCACCAATCACTTGATTTACATCGATCAATCATATTTTTTCATTTTATATGTTCGTTTCATTTTATCCCCCCTCTTCTAAAAGTGATTTTAACCGAAAATTCAACTTCAAACGGCCTTATTTGATATAAAATTCTAAGTTAATTATCAGTTCTTTTACATTAAGCCACTCGAAATAACGCCCGAGGAGTTATTTTGAGTATTAAGTCTATTATGGTTATTAAAAAAATATTAGCCAATCATGTTCGATGTCATCTATCATGTAACTTCGTGCTTATAGTACGGTATACACCCAAAAAAATATTTCATGAGACAAATACGTAATTATTTGTTTAAAAACATTGACTCGAACCTTATTAAGTAACGCATATCATTTGATTGATCATGTGTAGGGATTTACAATAAATTATAAAGGGACCAACATGAAGTTAATTAGTATGACTAATCATCAGTAGGCTTTAGATACTGATTGATCACACGTTGGACCAACTTCATCTTGATCCCTCAAATTTTTATTCTATTTCAAATACAAAATGTGGGACATTCTTTCACCTCTCCTTAAAGAAATTCATGGAGAACTTACTGATGAATTAAAATATCAAAAACTTAAACATGAAGTTAAAGATTGTCGTGAACTTATTGAAAGGTTGGCAGCAAAAGCTAAACTTAACCCTTTAAGTGTGGAATTTTCCCAACATCTTGACAAACATGATAAATTAAGTTATTTGAGAGATGAATTTAATATTCCAAAATCGCGTGATGTTATTCCAAATGATGTTGGTACGAATTGTTTATGACTCGAATATGGATTAATATATATCAAATATTTAATGAACATTTGTATTGTCTTTTGATGTAAATAGTGGCATTGAAACCTAATGAATCTAGTATATATTTTTGTGGTAACTCTCTTGGGCTAATGCCAAAGCGTGTAAAACATTTGGTGAATCAAGAACTTGATGTGTGGGCTGCATCGTACATACTAATTTTCATTATTATCATAACCATTTGAAGTTATATAAAATTTTATCAGAATTAACATTCTTTGTAAAATGCGTAATATTTTAGTGGTGTAAATGGTCATTTCACACATCCGTACAATCGTCCATGGTTATCTATTGAAGATACCGTAGTAGAAAAAACTGCAGAGATTGTTGGTATGTCGACTTATTTGAGTATACTATACAGAAACCTGAATATCTTAATGCACAGTAACTATATAGTAACTATGTGGTAACTATATAGTTACTATTAAGTTTAATAGTGACTATATAGTTATTATACAGTTACTACGCAGGTACTGTGCATTAAGAAATACAACTTTCCGTAAAGTATATACGAATGTGATAGTTAATTGATTAATAATATAACAGGTGCAAAGCCTATCGAAATAGCCATAATGAACACACTTACTTCAAATCTTCATCTACTTATGGCTTCGTTTTATACTCCAACAAAACATAGAAACAAGGTTCTGATGGAAGCTAAAGCTTTTCCATCGAATCAGGTTAGTAGGATTTCATAAACAACTAACTCTCGTTATAGCAAACTCTTAGTGAAGAGTTGTGAATTGTAGAATTATTAGACTTTGACTCTATATAGTGAATTGTATATAGCATCCTTTTGATGTAAATTATAGTGAATAGGGATGTTATGTGGTCTAGTCTAAACTAAAGGACCACAGTTAGTCTTAAGACCGGTCTGAAACTGAAAAAAAACTTGGGTTTGTTCTCACTTTTATGACCAGATCAGTCTAGATCAGTTCAGGTCAGTTGATTAAGACTATGAACTGTTAAAACTGGACCAAAGCAGGCCAGGCAGGACCAGGTCAGACTATTAACATCCCTAATAAATGAAGACTTTTTCTCAGCTCATAGCTTCACTATATAACGAGTGTGAATTATACTAATTTTTCCTTATTGTTTAAACATGAATTATTTATGTGATTTCAAATTAGTATGCAGTTGAGTCCCAAATTAAATTTCACGGTTATGATCCTGCCACAACATTGATTACGGTTAACTCACCTCCCGGTGAATACACGATCAATTTGGATGATATCTTGAATACGATTGAAAGGGAGGGTTCTTCGATCTCTTTGATTCTTTTCAGTGGTGTTCATTACTATTCTGGGCAGTTCTTTAAATTAAAAAAGATAACTGCTGCTGCTCAGAAGAAGGTAAAGTATACATAATATATACATATAACCATATTATGCTATTTTAATATCTTAAAAAAAAAAATTGTTATATTCTGTTTTCTTAGGGATGTGTTGTTGGATTCGATTTGTGTCATGCGGTGGGTAATGTAGTTCTCAAACTTCATAAATGGAATGTTGACTTTGCAGCGTGGTGTTCATATAAATATTTGAATTCCGGTCCTGGTGGTATTGCTGGTATTTTCATTCATGAGAAACATGCACATGATTTTAATCGACCTAGGTATAAGTTAATCAACTTTGATTTAAGAAAATGAAAATTTAGAAATGTGTTATTGACTTTTAAAACGATAGATTTGCAGGATGGTGGGGTTCCGATAGGAGGTCGAGATTCCAGATGGATAAACGTAAGGATATTTGCTTATATAAAGATATTTGAATTATTATTCACGTAGGTAGTTAATACTAGTGCGCGTATTATAGCATTTAACCCCATCCCTGGTGCTGGAGGTTTCCAAGTATCCAATCCCTCAGTATTGAATACAGTTTCACTTCTTGGGAGTCTCGATGTGTTCTCAAAAACCAGCATGGTCCAACTTCGATCAAAATCAATTCTCCTAACTGGTTATTTAGATTACCTTTTGGACAAGCAACTTAATGGTTTAGGATATAAACTTATCACTCCACGTGATCCTCATCAACGCGGTTGTCAAATTTCTCTCGTATATGATGAAGATAAATTAGATAAAGTGATTAAAGGATTGATGAAACATGGTGCAGTTGTTGACGAAAGAAGTCCTGATTGTATCAGAATTGCGCCTAATCCTATGTACAATAGTTTTTCTGAAGTATTTAGATTTGTCAAGGCTTTAAAATCTATTATGGAGGAATTGGGATTTAAATTTGAGGCCAAAAAGTAATCCAAATTATTAATTTATAAATTTTATATGACTTTATTGGTTATTTATGTTTACTATTTATAACTCAACATAGTAAAGAAGTGATTTAGGATTAATTTTTGAATTGTCAATTGTAACTTAGCAAATCCTTATTCAACTCCTTTACTAGTTGGCAAGTAATTATCAGTATTTAAAAATAAAATTTTGGTTCTTAGTCATCTAGATGAATTAGTATACTGACTGGTTTTGTAAGGAGAAATATACTTCCTAATAAAAAATACCGGAATGTCAATAATTGTAGCAAGTTAAACTTGACATAATAAACAACGTTATTCGATACAAAGTTTCATTTTAGGTTATATCAAAGATATAAGAAAAAACAGGACTCGATTCCTTGAAACTTCTGAATCAAGAGACGCTTATATTATAAAAATTTATAAGTTTCTGGAAGAGAAAAATAATTATTAAAACAATACATAAACGTTTCCCTTTCTTCAGAGTTCATTATCCGTTTATCCATTTATCTATTGGATATCCAGATTGGATACCTGTTTTACCATTGATATCCGGATAATTATTCATATCAATAGTAAATGGATACAGATATGGATAAATGGATGACGGATTTATCCTGATTGGAACTTTACCTTTTTATTATATACTTATTTGAATACATGATATCGAAATGTTTTTAAATTTACCGATTCTAAAGCTAACTGCCCTGTATGTAAAGATGGGCACACATCGAGGAATGTGAATTGTTGAAGTAAAGATAACGTATATTCCCTTTCGATACCTATCAGAATGAATCTTAATTGCTATACAGAGTACGCCAGAAATCTGATTCAAATAAAATGGAATGTCTTTACCAATATGCTGTCGAACACAGAATGAACCTTGAACAATTCTCAGTTATTACCGAGGCTGAGAAGAAAAAAATGAACCATAGGTGTTTCTCTGTGATTTAGAGAGAAATATTTTATCAAGGTGCAATCGAGAGAAAGGAAGACCTAAAAAAATATTCCAAAATTTTAACTGATCGGGATAGGTTAATAAGTGATGAGTTATACGTCGTGATATACTAGAAAGTGGTTCAAGGTTCAAGGATTATATGGCTCATGAAAGAATGGGTAAAAGACCATGCTCAATTCAATCAGATTTTAGCCAGACAAATCAAGAAAATTCAACCAAGATAAGTAAAGAAGTCAATAAAATTTACTGGAATCAACTGTGAAGGCATAAATTATAGCAATTATAAAAAAAAATTTATTTACATATTGTGTTGTTAAAAATAACTAGAGATGCTTGAGAATCTTGATTTTTAGGACAGGTTATAAAAACCAAGAAATAATTATAATTTTAAATAATTTGGAATTAGATTTTTACACTTAAATTATGCAAATAAACAGTATTCACTAAATATTCAACTTAAAATTAATTTTATATATATATACATTATATAAATTATATAAATATATTTTTCTTTTTTTTATATATACTTTTCCCTGATACAGAAACATGAATGGGGGTAAGATTATTGTATATTAATACTTTTTCATTTTGTTAATGACCAATACAATTTGCCTTTGCTTCTAAAAGAAATCTATGAGAGTCTAACCAGAAAGCAGAAAGAACTTATAATCAATGTTCTAGTCTTGATGAAAGAAAGAAATTTTTGCAATGGCTTGTTGAAGAACGAAAAAAATCAGTATGTTTTTTTTTTTTTATACATGTTATAAAGATATCAATATTAACCAAAATTTAATTTTGCCGTCGAATAGGCGAGCTAATGACTGGTCTTATACAGCACATATAACTGGTCTTATCGTTTTAATATAAGCATTATTTTTTAAAGGAGTACTACAAAGTATTTTGGTATCGTTTATTATGTAGGCACAATTATTAAGTTGGGAATTGACATAGAGTAGGAATTATATATGATAATTATTCCAATAATTGTGTGGTCATCTGTGGCTTGCATTATTAGGTATTTTTTGTCGTTTCTCCTGCTATTACTGTGAATGTAGGAGTAAAAATGGCCAAGCTTATCATTAAAATTTTATTTGAACCAATCTTTATGTTGTATGTTTTCAAAGAGATCGAAATTGTAATTGTTACATGATTATATTGACTGCATTGCAAACAATTAGTTTTTCGCAAAAAAGGTCTGAATGGATCTGGTATTTTTTAACGAATGTGAAAATAAAAGATATCTTTGTATGTAATAATTAAAATGTGAAAACACCCTACCGCTACTGGTAACACGCTCCATTTGTTTTTCACGTGCTTGTAGTCAATAGTGACAGAGGTTTTTCAGACTCGTTATGTAAGCCGAATCCAAACCCAAATTGAGGGTTTTGAAATACCTTACGTAACACTACAAATAATATTAGGAGAGGGTGAAACCCGCACGTTAGGGTGAAATCCGCGTTTAGCTATGTTTTTTATTATGCAAAAGCGGTAACGCGTTATCGATATAACCATGTAAAAAATTTGGCATTGATTAATATGTAATTTGGTAAAAAATCTAAAATCGGCGACTCGAACGTGCCGTAATGGACGTTTTGGTAGTTTGAACATATCACTAATACTAATGACGAATGTGTAGTTACTTCATCGCAGAACTTGACAATCATGAGAAAGAGATTAATGAGCTTGTAATACGATTTAATATAAAACGTAGCTAATTATTTGGTTTATCTTTCGAGTTATTATATTCGAGTTTGTAACGATTCTGCTTTATATGAAAAAATTGGTTTCTATGAAATTTATGTTCGAAAATTTTTTACAATACTCTTACTATCAGATTTGGAGTTTGCAAAATAAATAAGATTTCATTAGGCTCAGAAAGTTCATTTTCCTCCAGTGAAATCGATGAACGTTGATATCAAAACGTAAAAATTTTAACTATTAACTTAGGTTTTTTTTTTAAAGCTTTAGAGTAAACAATCTTTTCACAGAATCTTTTCACAGGTAGCATCCTTGAATTTCCAAAATCTTAGTAATTCTTTGCTGATGTGTTCAATTTTTGATATCTTTAATTGCAATCTATTAAAACTATTTACATAAAAATAATGTGAACAAGTTACAAACTTTTTTGTAAATGCCTCTGTATTATACTAATTCCTACTTCAAATTATTTCAAATTCCTGTTCTGATGCGTTTTCTATACCAATATTATTGTAATTTCCACTCGAGAAGATAATTCTCGACTATTTAGTATAACATTATTCTTAAAAAGACGACACGAATAGGCATGTTCAGGGTGGCTTTTAACACTTTGGTATCATTTATAATGCAGAGAATAGACATGTCTTCGCGTTTTTTGTGTATATGAATTACGAATGTCCAGATATATATAGAGCTCGAAAATACAAAATTTTATCAATTTATTGATTAAAAATTATCGAGATCATTTTGCTTTTTTTATTCCTTTTTTTTTAATTTTATTACTTTTTTTTATTTTGTTCTATTGTTTTATTAGTTACGCATTTTTATTACATTGCAAAAAAGAAAAATGTTCAATACCATCTGCTAATAAACCTAAAAACTGTAATTCCAAAAGCCTACATTTTAATTTTTTTTTTTGAAATTTTATCACATTCTTTCAATTTTCTGAAGAATTAGTTATAACAATAATAGGGACCTCCAATTTCAAGGGTGTCAACATAAATTTATCGAATCTTATTGTCATGATAATCTCATGTTTGATCTCCAAGAAAGAAACATTTGAATCAGGTTTCATCCGATGATAGATTGGGATTTCGAATGAAACAGGACCGGAGTCATCGGACGATATAGGAATTGAGAGAGGTGGTGTAATAAGTGGTGTGGTATGATGAGGGTTTGGTATGGAAACATTAGAGAATGCAGGGATTTTAGCACTTGCTCGTGAAGTCGGCGTTACTGTTTTTTTTACAGGTGTCGATCTAATAATTCCCATAGTTATTAATTTTAAAGAAGAGATCATAAAATTAAAGTATTTTTAATTTGATACATACGATTTCGTTGCACTAGAAGCGGATGATGATGATCCAAACTTTGCAAAATTGTACATCTCATACTCGAATGATTCAACTTTCACTTCTTTAACACCAGCATTATCCAAAGATTCAAAAGTAGCTTCAACTTTAACAACACCGCGCGGTTCCGTAGAAATATCAGCATTATCTTCCTCACCGGCATCATCATTAATGGCCATATATTTCGAGACAAAAACTTTATATTTTAACAATCCTTCACGTTCATCTTCATAAATAACTTTTTCATTGATATCTACACCATTTGTTAATGTGTTTTTTCGTAAAATTACATTTTTAGAGGTTTTGTAAATTGCATGCGGAGAAGCTTTAGTCAACTCAGCAGTAAGCACATATCTAATCGCAGCATGTTTACCCTCAACACTGGCTGGAAGATTTACCGGTGCTTTCAATGTAATAGCGAACGGAAGCAATGTTTCACCAGGATTAAAAGTTTTTGTGATGTTTACAACAGTAAGTTTTTGTTTAATCAAATCTTTGGTCGTTAAATTTCGTGTTGTAGCTTTTTGAGAATTATTAAATTGTGCAAATCCATGAAGTTTTAATATTACTTGAGTAACTTTTAGTGGGGCTGAAAGATTAATTTGGATGTTGCCTTTGATTGCTAAAGAGCTTGTTGTGTTACTTGGTAAATAGAGACTCGGTGATGCGAGAATTATATCACATGATTTTATTTCTTTCATGGCCATTTTTTTTATAGATCTAAGCGCAAGTAATTATTTCAAAGGTGCAAAAAAAAAATTGACAAGAGATTTCGTATGTTTTGTATATGTAAGGCGATAAGAGAAATGTAAGAAAAGTAAAAATAAAAAAGTTAGATACAAAAGGAATGGTGCCTTTTTTTTTTAACAGGGCTAAGTATGTACTTATGTGTTTATTTATACGTACGCCCAACATGCTGATAATGAATACTGGATGATTGGATACCCCCACATTGTTCTTTGTCCCTGTAATCATCTAAATCAAGCAAATGTAGGTTCATCCAAATTTATTTAATAACGATAAAACCCGACGTATTTGGTATAAATGCACTGCGCCATAGAAATGGAAATTTAGTCCCGAGATCAATTTACTTTATTTACTTACGCATGTTTAAACATGAGACATTAAGGTTATCCGTTATACGTATGATACGTACAGCAGCACAAATTAGAACATACAAAATTTTGACAAATTTAGATAATATGTTTAACATGACATTACATACAATACTTAGCTTTTCTAAGTATTCTCTTTTTTTGGAGGTACGTATTAAGATGACAAATACTGAAGAATTGCTTGTTTCGTGTTAAGATAAAATAACTTTTTTTGCCATCATACTACATACTTACGTACGTATTTTAATTTACATGTGTCTGTCTTAATATGAACCATCGTACCACTTTACTATGCACCTTTCTTGGTGACTTTCTTCAAATACTATTGGAGCACGAAATTTAATTTATGAAGAAATCTTTCCGGTTGGTCCAACCACATAAATAATTTGTTTACTATCCTTATTCTCATATGACGATTACGAAAGAGTAATATTATACGTAGTACGTACTACGTACTCACCGAGAAGCAATAGGACCGTGCAGGTTGTTTTTCCACGCCCATGTGCCGTGCACAGTGAAGCCATGTGCATCTCACGATAGAGTATCATAAACTATCGTCGATATCTAAAAACCGTTGCTTTTCGTACAAATGCAACAATAAGAATAAATTCTTGTTTAACAAATATTAAATTTTATATTAACTAGTAAAACTACGACATCTATAGGTTGAGTCATTAATTACTTTATTATCGTTATGCTCAAATTTATATTTGTAAATAATTCAATTGTCCTGGTATTTGTAATAAACTAAAAAAAGATCCATACGAATTTTTGACAAGCTTAAAACATAAGGTTCGCTGTAAATTTCCTAATTGTAGGACATAGCTTATTACAAAGTAAAAGATATAAATTGTATCTTCCAAGTCCATATTTCGAAATAAGTGATATATAAATTCTATTTTATGATAGGCCATAAAAGATGTTAGAAACGTAGATAAGACTTTTTAAGTTCCATTTATTTTTGAAATAAGAACACCCTAATGAGCTAGATTGGTAGTTATCTACGTACAGTCATCGGCAAAAGTAATGCCTGATTTTTTTATTAAATGAAATTAAAATCAAATATATGATTTTTTTCATTTTTACAATATACTACATGTATTTTTTTTTTCTAACTAATCAATATTTGCAATGCCCTCCTTTTGCTTCCAATACTGCTTCGATCCTTCCTGGAACTGAGTTTACAGACTTCAAAAATACTGACATATCTAATTTTGATTATTTTTTTTTATGATTTTAAGATTATCTATTTCTCTTGAAAAGTCATCCTGATTCTGAATATTATCTTTCAATACTTTTCAAATATTTTCAATCAGATTAAGGTCAGGTGATCTTACAGGTCAGTTCAATTTAAGGATTTTTTTGTCTTCGAACCAATCGGATACTTTATATATCAATTTATTGTCTTGCTAAAACATTATTTTTGCATCTACTAATGAACGAGATGTTTTAACCCTTTTATAAAATGATGGTAAATGATCCTTCAAAAGTTTAATATATATTTTTTTATTAATTTTTTCTTTAGATTATTTATATTCATCAAAAAAAACAAGAAAACCCTTGATCCTACCAATAAAATAACTTCACATTATTACTGACTGCTTACCACTCTTAAAATTCGAGATTAAGTATTTATTTTTGTGCCTTTTACCTTTAAGATATTATATCCTAATTTAGTATAATTGTTTACTAAGCTTAATGGACATTTCATTAGAAAAAATTACATGTTACCAATTATAGATGCTTTTTGATATGTTTTGTTGATACTATTCAAACTATTCCTTCATATAATGATTTTTTAAGGAATAGTTTTTTTGCTGTTATATGAAAATGAACATCAAAATTTTGTAGAACTTGAGAAACAGTTCTTAAACTGCACTCAAGCTTTAAATCATTGATTAGGTTATGCAAAGGTTTGTGTCTTTTTTCAGGGCTGTTTCTATTAGAACAGTTTTTTTTTGATTATTAAGAGTACAAGATCTTTTAAATCTTGACAAATTTGATATATACTTGGTTCTCTGGTACTTGGTGAGAAATCTTCAGATTGTGATGAGCTCACATTTCATTTTTTATACAACTTGCTAGACACTTATATATTCAATATAAACCAGGATTTCACCTTTGTCTTTTTTTGTTATTGAAATGCCAGTTATGTTTATTATATTTAGAGTTTTTTTGCAAATACTTTATAGAAATTTAAAGAAAAAAAAAAAAGATTTGCTTTACAAATTGCTATAAGGAGGTAAGCAATATGTATTTATTTGTATATCAGTCACAGAATCAAAATCAGGCATTACTTTTGCCAATAACTGTATATAGTAATTAATTATTTTAGAATTACATTATGTTTGATATATTAAATTTTAGTCTATCATTATTTGAATTAAATTTATATACCAAATATAAGGTAATTTTGACATTTTTATGACATGACAAACCTATTTGATTTAGACCCTTATTGTTATTATATAATCATATAATATATAAGATAACATATTTTCTATTCAATTTACTCCTCTACAATATATTCTTTGTCTGTTTTAACTTTATTTTATATGTTATTAATTCAACTTTAGTTATGCAAAGAACTTCTTAATTCAGTCAGAGATCACTTAATTGCTTTTCAATAAAAAAATAGAAATAGATAAAGCTAAGAATAGAAACAACGAATTGGTTTAGCTTGGCTCAAAAATCATATTAAACTGATTTGAATTAGCTAATTTTGAGCTGTTTTTATTTCTAAATAGAGCTTTTACAATACAATAGTGATGTTAATAGTTGGCTTAGTTCAAGAAGCCATAACTCAAGGCTTAAGCTATAGCTTTATAACTATATTTAATCTATAATTTTAAATCATAGTTTTAAGCTGGTTCTAATTAAATAAAATTTATATAATACAAATTATCTAAAGATATTTAAATTTGTTAAAATAATTTTGCTATAAATACAATTTGCAAAAAAAAATATATATATATAAACTTACTAAATTAGTACAATAATTTCTATACAACTACAAAATAACTCATGGTCTCCTATTAATATTTTAAACCACCCTAAACCAATTATTGATGATCCTAACAGACACTCATTAAATTTCAAAATTATTCAACTTTTTATCCATCTTGGCTTAGTAATCTCAGCCAATCCTAATATCACATGGCCTCATACAATTAGTAATGGAGGCCAGTCACTAGAATCAATCTTATCTCAGCATCCTAAATACCCAATCTTTAAAAAACAACTTAGACAATCCAATATTATGTATCTTGAACAACTCTGCACAGCTGACAAT